ACCGGGCGGGACAATGATAGGGAGCTGGTAGCACGTAAACGGGGCGGGACGGTGATAGGGAGCTGGTAGCACGTAAACAAGGTGGGGCGGTGATGGGGAGCTGGTAGCACGTAAACAGGGCAGGACGGGAATACGGAGCTGGTAGCACGTAAACAGAGCGGGGCGATGATAGGGAGCTGGTAGCACGTAAACAGGGCGGGACGGTGATAGGGAGCTGGTAGCACGTAAACAGGGCGGGACGGGAATACGGAGCTGGTAGCACGTAAACAGGGCGGGACGGTGATAGGGAGCTGGTAGCACGTAAACAGGGCGGAACGTTGATAGGGAGCTGGTAGACCAGTGGAGCGCTGCACACGATACAGAGTGGATTTCCAGGCTACCTACCTCGGAGCTCCGGAAGGCGCGTGAAGCTCTCCAGTTTGCTAATAACCTAAACAAGCTCCGGCGATAGAACCAGTTCCTGGAGGAGTGCGTTCATAAGCCGGTGATAAACATCATGCTAGTCTTCTACACCCACCAAAGAAACTTGTAATGGATTTCTAAGGCAATTCTACCAACTTGCTCTGCAACCGGCTCAGTCCCGGCAAGTACTAACTAGCCACGAATGCGAATTTTGGTCGCTGTCTGCGAAGTGTTAAAAAGAAAATAATGCGCCTAGGAATTACATAAAAAAGATACGGTCCTGGGGAATACTCAACGCTTCTTTATAGCACGAAAACTTGTCCTACACAGGCAAGTTCTTTGAGAAGAAGAATAGCTTGAAACCAATTTGAGGGGCTTCATTTTCGTTTTCCGATTAATCTTTCAGAACACCACTCGTTGAATTGTGTTCAAACTACAGCAATCCTTGTGGAACACAAAGGATGCGCCAGCCGCTTTAGTGTGATGTCTTATTGGCTTTCGCTCGCCTATCTTCGGACTGACTACTTCGAAGAGACTGAAGAGGCAATTTTCACGAACCAAAGCGCGGCGTTTTCATGTGACTGAACGTTGCCACTTTTCGGATTATGTCAAATCTTTTCGAGTAAACTGTCGTCTCAAAGGCTTGCCGAACTGCGCACCTGAACTGCGAACTGAAGCCCGAGAGTTTAAGACTGCGGGCTGCCCGAGCAACGACAGTCGCAAACACCGAGTAGCAAGACGGCTTAATATAAGCCGTGCGCGAATTTCAGATCCTGTTTACACTCTCCGTGAAGTGGCCCGTGCAGTCAGTAAAAACGTGCCGCGCTAAGATCCGCAAACTGAAAGCAGGCGCTGCAGCAGCAATTACGTCCCAATACGTTTTGCGTCGTGACGCGGAGTCCTGTGGCGCTGAACCACGTGACAGCGCCAGACCGATGACTCCGGCCCGTCCGGGATCAATGCAGGAACGGAGTCAGCTGTTGCCAGAGCTTGACAGCGATCTTACAGCAGCTCTCTCATCATATGCTCGTCGTTGTCAATGTCGACAGCTGATTCTGATTTGAAACAATATCGTCTTCGTCGTTAATCTCTTTTGAAATATCTGCTTTGAGAACAAATCCGGGCGTTCATTAACTCCTTTTTCCTGTGAGCTGCCTCAGATGTCCGCTAATGGCCGTGTTACTGCGATAATGATCTCTCCCTGCTTATGATCCTTATGTTTCTGGGGCGACGCTCCTCACACGATCCGCTAGTCAACGCGCTGACATTTCACCCGCACCTCTCCACACTCATCCACGCATTGATGCTGTCACTAGTCTCACATTAGCGCTATCTTTGATGGAATACCTATAGCGCTATCTTTGATGGAATTTGATATCAAATTGTGTATATTTACATTGCTGGGATCACCAGGTTTTCTCACACAAGGCACATTTCTAGAAAGACCAGCTCACGCAAACCATGGGTGTTACCTGCACTTCTTCTATCAGTTACACGTAAAAGCAAGTTATTTGAACAGAAATTGAAGAACCCCAGTCCCCAAAATATTGCAACATACACTTGCTACCGCAACATTCTAACTACATCTCTTAGGCTAGCTAAAAAGAAATACTACAGTAATGAATTCAGTAAACATTCTGGGAATTCCAAGGAAACATGGAAAACATTACACACTCTCATCAATTCAAAACAAAAAAAGGATGCAGATCCAACCAGGATTATTGCTACTAATAATAAAATTATCACAGACGATCCGGATATCGCAGAATCATTTAACCTCTTCTTCAGCGAGATTGGACAACAGTTAAAAGACGAGACACCTAAATCATCTTTCGACCCCCTCCAGCTCATCACAAATGTCGAAAATGAAGTGGATCTGCCTCCCCCCCCTTAATGAACAGGAATTAATTATTTCATCGATGGGCTAAACAACGTCGGAGCTGGAGTCGACAATATTAGTTCAAAAATATTCAGGTTATCTTATAAGGTTACACTCAAACCAATTCTCCATCTTTTCAACAGCTGTTTGTCTTCGGGGATATTTCCAAGCATTTTCAAAAAAAGCCGTGATTAAACCCATCTTTAAAAGTGGGGACTCGCAACTTGTAGATAACTACAGACCTATCAGTATTTTGCCGTTTATGTCCAAAATTCTTGAAAAACTTATATCTAATAGACTCGTCCTTCATCTAGACCAAAACCAGCTAATTCACCAAAATCAGTTCGGATTTCAGAAGAACAAAAGTACTTACATGCCAATTCTTCTTCTGCAGGAAACTATTACAAAGGCTTTTGAAAATGGGTAATATGTGTTAGGTTTGCATTTAAATCTGAAAAAAGCCTTTGACGCTAAAAACATTAGCCTTCTTCTACGTAAACTTACTAAATATGGTATTCGACGAAAATCTCATGAAATCATTTCTTCATATTTGTCTGGCAGAACTCAATGTGTAAAAATCAGGAATGATCTATCAACAATCAAAAACGTAACAATGGGGGTACCCCAAGGATCCATTCTCGGCCCAATCCTCTTTTTAATGTACATAAATGACCTACCTAAATTAAGCAGTAACATGATTTGTCTGTCTTATGCTGATGATACTGCGGTTGTTTTCAAAAATAAAAGTATTGTCGAACTTCAAAGCAATGTCAGTACGCTTTTGCTTCTAATGACTTCTTGGTTTGCTGCTAATTTTCTTTCCCTGAACGTATCAAAAACATTCACACAGCATTACACAACCCTCTCTTCGCATTTCCGACTAAATGTGCAAATAAATAATTCACCTATTGAAGAGAAAAAAGAAATTATATACCTTGGTGTAATCATTGACAAATCTCTTAAGTTTACAAGCCACACTAATTTTGTCGCAAGCATAGTAAGTAGGAATATTGGAATAATAAGTAGGGTTAGGTACTTTATTGATAAAACAACGTCACATCTACTCTATAACACTTTGGTTCTTCCTTACCTAAATTACTGCTGCTTGGCTTGGGACATAAATTATGCTTCTCAACTAGATCGATTGGTAATTTTGCAAAAAAGGGCTGTGCGTCTTATAGAAAATGTGTATCCTCCGCAAAGCTCAGAGCCAATCTTTAAACGATACAAAATTTTGAAACTCTCGGATATTGCTAAATCTCAAATGTTAATCGTGATGCACAAATTTTTAACTTCACAGCTCCCTGCATCATTCGATTTAATTTACAATCTCTACGAATCCAATGACATGGATATGAGGCGAGCAAAGCATTTAGAACAACCTTTCTCTTATCGTAATTATAGACTATTTACAGCATCCTGCTTTGGCCCTAAGCTGTGGAACGACATTATGGTCCCATATTTTCCAAGAATAGCTGATATCCCTGTATCGAAAACCATCGTTAAGAACATCATCCGCAATCATTTCGTGAACACATATTAACGTAACAAACATATTTGAAGACATTGCCATCCTTGTGCTGTACATATCCAACGCACTTCATATTTGACCTCCTTCATGTTTCATAATCAATTTCTGATATAAAGTTATGCACATATACCCAAATTCATGGCGCTGGCTCCGGGAGTTCTCCCAGCAACAAGCTCTGCTTAGCTGGGTGGACTCCCTGGAAATCCAGCCCAAAACCCAGCACAAAAATGACCAGGTAATTGCCCCCTCCGACTTGTGACTGTATAACCCTTACTAACACGGGGAATTGAGTGGTTGTAGATTATTGGGCGGTTTTAGCGGGCTGTCATTAGCTCATTTTGGCTAATGACTACTTTAAGCCTTTTCATCTATGATTTTTCCCTACCTCTCACATAACACAATTCCCTCGGGTCTGCTCCACCTCCTCGCCTGTTTTTTTTAAGTTTGTTTCATCTTCCTAGCTGGGAGTGCCGCGACTTGATTTTATGTTTTCTGGTGTTAACGTACGGTTTACTGCGTCGCTGGGATTGAGGGAGGGGCACTCCTGGTTACCTGTTCTTGGGTAACGGCGTAGAAGAAAAAAATACCAGGCAGCCTTTGCGACAGCACATGCCTAGTAGATTGTCCCAGACCATGTCCGACTGCCGGCCATGCCGTGACCCTAGCTCGTCTGCTGGCTGGTGAAAGCACCGCTGCCCGGCGCTGGTCTCCGCTGCGGCTGGCCTCGGGCAGGTCTCGCGGTGCGCGCCAGCCCCGGTCATAATCGAACGCCCAGGCCTCGTCGTCTGCAGACGATCCCGAGAAGCGTCTTCTCGCCGCTCTTAAGTAGCCGCCATGGAAATTATTCTGCCAAGCAAAGCACTCGCCATGTTCTGATGGGCTCGCGAGATTAGAAATGCGCGTTTGCTCAAGCATGCGCAGCAGGGATTGTGGCATTGAATGACATTTTGCTGAGCGCTGCCATATTTTGGTGTTGGTGTGTCGTTGCACATTCAACCCAAAGTCCTTAGATGTGCGCATCTCGGGCACAGCTGCCAGCTTACGTTCACTCCTGTTTGACTGCTCGCTCCCGGTTCTCATCCAACAGTGCTACCGCACAGGCCTGCTGCAGACAGCAGCGTTACGCTTTGCCTCTGTGTTGTTCGCTCCACCCCACCTCGCGTGTGCCGTCGTTTCAGAACATCCTTGCCCTGTATGACAATAACCAGTACCACGAGGAGTGTCTACTCTGCAATCGTGTGGTCAGAACCGACCGGGACCCAATCAGAAGAGAAGCACCGACGCCACCGGAACAACGTGAGCTCTCCTCCATTATATTCCCAGTTCCCCCTCTCTCTCTCTCTCTCTCCAACTTCTATCTATAAATCAATATTTCCCTACCTTTACTCCCTACTCACTTCTCTCTCTCTCTCTCTCTCTCTCTCTCTCCTCTCTCTTCTCTCCTCTCTCTCTCTCTCTCTCTCTCTCTCTCTCTCTCTCTCTCCTATTCTCTCTCTCTCTCTCTCTCTCTCTCTCTCTCTCTCTCTCTCTCTCTCTCTCTCTCTCTCTCTCTCTCCTCTCTCTCTCTCTCTCTCTCTCTCTCTCTCTCTCTCTCTCTCTCTCTCTCTCTCTCTCTCTCTCTCTCTCTCTCTCTCTCTCTCTCTCTCTCTCCTCTCTCTCTCTCTCTCTCTCTCTCTCTCTCCTCTCTCTCTCTCTCTCTCTCTCTCTCTCTCTCTCTCTCTCTCTCCTCTCTCTCTCTCTCTCTCTCTCTCTCTCTCTCTCTCTCTCTCTCTCTCTCTCTCTCTCTCGCACCATTTCGCTATCACTATCACTCTTTCTTTCTGTTCACATATGTACTCACCCTCACACTCACTCACTCACTCACTCACTCACTCACTCACTCACTCACTCACTCACTCAATCACTCAATCACTCACTCACTCACTCACTCACTCACTCACTCACTCACTCACTGGAGACCTATCTCCCCCTTTTCTTATATTTTGCGGTGTCATATAATGTTATGTGTGCTATTAGCAAAATTGACTGTTTGCGTGACCGGCCCATAACGTTCGCCAAATTAGACGTGAATCAATACAATATCTATACATCAGATATTGATTAGATAAAAGCCCACACTTTCGAATTGTCACCTCAAATGCATGCGTCCATAGTCGTGACAACGTTCGCCAGGACACATCAACGTCGTCAGGACGTTAGCCAGAACACATTAACGTCCGCGAGCGTCAGCCGCGTGCGCATGACAGCCTTGGCAATATCGCTTGGTGACAAACTCTGCCTTTTTGCGTCCGCGACTCCGTTGCGACTGCGGCGTTATTTCCAGCGGAGTAGCGGTGCTGTCAGGCGAACGGGTGCTGCCCGGTTAGCGCTGAAGAAGCCGGCTGTGTTGCAGATTTACTGTGACCTGCACTTCGCTGACCTGGCGCTGATGGAGAGCTCCGACTTCATGAACCAGCTGCGGGCGTTCAAGCCGCAGAGCCTGGGCTGCGCGGTGGCCCGCAGGAAGAGCTCCACCACGCTCATCTTCCCGCTACCGCCGCAGGCGTGCTCAGGTGGGGACTGTTCTCACTTCGGCTCAGGCCACGGCCAGTTACGCCCACAGGACAAGGAAGTAATGATGGCGAGCGTATGGTCCCTTACCTATCTATTTACAGCTACGCCGTTGAGCCAATTCTGTTTGATGTCTTTTTCGCACGCCCTTTTCTGCGCCCTTCTTCTTTTTCTTTTCAAAACTCGTGATTCATCTCGTCACGCTTCCTCAATCCGGTATTGCGGACACCTCTGGGATATGTGTGCGATAAAATGCACAAGATATGTAAATTGGTTCGGAGTGGGAAAGATCCTACGGTAGCATCTAATACGTTTCGATGGTGTAGCCCTACAGCTTTAGTACACAGCGACCAACAAACACCAGGACATCAGTTTGACTCCCTATTCAGAATGGGCTTCAGGAGATAATGTTACGGGCAATCTCAAACGAACAGTCACAGGTCACAGTTGATTCGCAAACTTGTCAAAGTAGCACAGTTTATGCGTGCACCTTTTTGTAACATGTTTGAGCACATCAGCCTCGCGGCTGACCCGCTGTGATTTGCTGGTCGGCTGGCCGTGTTCAGCTGTTGGTGGGAACCTGACCATAACTGATGTGACACATTTGGTCGGAGGGACTACATAGATGAAGTACATGTTTTGCAAGCTGGGCGATTACAAGCTTATCTGGTAAAAGCGAGTACTAAAATTCGTCAGCCCGTTCTGTTTAAGGCCACTAGAGAAGGCTGCGCAGACGTGACGTCACCATGGAACTAAAATTTGGCAGCCCATTGTATGGTTTTTGGCTGGCACTAAGCGAAGTTTGGTAGATACTAGTAGCATGGTTACGAACGGAGATTTCGCCAATGAACTGGGTAGCCATCCTGCTTTGCATCTTTAATTCAATGTGATGTGAATCGATACTGTAAATTTTGCATTCAAAAGATTCTAAACACAAACCAGTACTGCGATCTGCTTCCAAAAAAACTCCTACTAAACCATATTTTCCAGGTTCATTGCCCGCGCCATATTCGTCGAAGGCAACGTGCCCTAACAGTTAGATGTAATACCTCTTTATGAAATGTATATTTATTTGAAAATAAATGGTTATCATGTAAAATGTTTACATTTAATTCATTAACGGACACTAATCGTCCATTTATCGTCGAGCTGCAGTATCTAAATGGAGTGAAATGTGAAAATAGGATAATGCGAGGAGGGCAGGAGCCAAAGATTTCGCTGTTCCTTACTGTAGTCTTACTTGTCGCTGGTTAACTTGCACATCCATAATGCCGGATAGGTCAAGTGAAAACGGTACGCAGGGAATAATATCCTGACTGCCCTGATATGTTTCCAAGACTTTGTTCCAGGTGAGATATGGGCCACCACTTTTTGACTGGCAGAAATTACAAAGCTTGACAGATATCGTCCCATTTTGCAGGAAAATTTGTATCTTGAACTGAAAGGGCTCTGCATTTACGTCGCTCTGCATTTACGTCTTCCGGGGCTCACCACTCACTGACTCCATTACCGCAAGCCAACCCTGCATCCACCTCTGCAATGCCCCTCCTAAGGCCGCAGGAAGTGTATTCCAACTTCTCAATGCGCGTTCCAGGGTGCTGCAAACCCGTCTGAGCCGCCGTTTCTCATTTCCACCCTATACTGTAGCTGTCGCATGTTGTTCTCTTTTACACAGATTGTTTGTAAGCACTTCCGGCTGGAGATCTCCGCGATAAATCACTGGTGAATGGGTTACCCCATCTCACTGTCAGGGGCAGACTGGTAGCGCATTTCAGCAATAAGTTTGTAGCTCTGGTGCGAACCAACGCCATTTCCCAGGTGAGAGTGCTTTATTGAATGTCCTAGGTCTTATAAAGTTTGGCTTATGAACATATTTATGTTAAACCAAACTGCAAAAACAGGGTTTTCACGCGGCCGTAGCATTGGTGCCATATGACTTAGTGCCGGGATGACGTCACAGCATCGCTACCTAGAATGCAGTAATGCTTGGTTCCGTTCAATCAAGAAAATGAAAAATTGCGTGGCTATCATTTTTGGTTACGTGCTACACGATTATCCTGCTACGTTCAGTTCGAAAAGGAATGTCTTCTGGGTAAAGTATAGTTTCGGTCCTCGATGCAGGGATAAATCCCCAAAAAGTATGTCATTTGTTTAGGGTGGGGGGGGGCTTGTTCATTTCCCCTCAGCGCTCCAGAAGGTGGGCCTGTCTTGCTTCTGGATATAGCTGGACTTGCATCCCGCGGCCAGAACAGTAGGTTTCAGAACAGAACAGAACAGAACAGAACAGAACATCCCCGGTGCAGAGCAGTGTGTGCCCGGCCCATCGATGGTGGATGCGTCACAAGAATTGCTTCGCTGGTCAAATTGCACAATGGACTGGGTGTCAATACCGAACCGGCCAATGTACGAAACGCAGTTTATCACACGATTGATGGAGCTCTCCGGAAATGGATACAATTTAGGTGAAGGGGTGGTTGCAATTGAGGTGTGCGGGGTGTAGGCAACGCTTGCCAGCGTGGGCGCTGCATCCGAACACTTGTATCGCCGGCGGCCACATTCTGCACATCAGATCGTGCGTCGGACGGCATGATTTCGAGGCTTTTAACTGGACTTTGCCTACAAAGCACTAGTCTTTGTGTAGTTCCGTTCTACGCTCTTCCATCGCTCCTTTCCATTGGACGTCGCGGATGGTTACGAGCGCCGGCGCGCACTGGCGGCATGACGCGCCCGACCCGCATAACAGCAGTGCCACGCGTCACAGTCTAAATGGTCCGCTACCAGTCGACAGCAGCGGGATAAAATCCCGGTTAGCGCGGGCAACCCAGGAACGCCGGTCAAACAAAGCGGTGCTGTCAAATTGAGGGCTAACTTCATGTACTGAAAAAGATAAGCATTTAGCATCTGACGAGTGCGATATATTTAGGACCCATGGAAGCCTTCGAAGCCCATGTTCCTAGGTCGGCCTTACGCCGCCACAACGAAGTCGTCGGTCGTCGCCGGCCCGCATAACAGCGGTGTTAGGCGGCACAGACTCAGCCGCTTGCCGTCGGCGCCGGGATAAAAGCCTTCTGGTCGCGGTAAGCCGCCGTCTACTGGTGATGCAGTGGGCGTCGTGGAGCTCAGGGCCGACTCTATATTTTGAAACAGATTAGCATTCGGCGCGTATCGGGGGCGATATATTTCCGGCCTCTGAAAGCCTTCGGAGCCCCAGCTGCGGGGTGGCCTTCCGACGCGGCGCAGTCGCATGCTCGCGCGCCGCCGACGCTCCTGCCCGCTCTGCCAGACGAGTTCTGCCGTGGCTACCCGCACAACCTGCTGCCCACGCCCGGCTACTGGGTCGAGTGCGCCGGCCAGCCGCTGGAGGACGACGTGCTCTGGGACGCCGATGAGGGCGAGGGCAGCGACGAACACGAGCACGAGTCCGAGCCGGCGCCCGGCAAGTGCGACCAGAACGTACAGGTGGGTCGGAAGCGCGGCGAGCGGGCGGCTGCCCGCCGCCAGTCGCAACGTCCGCAGAGTGCTCCGTCTTGGGCAACCTTGCAGCGAAATGGACCCCAAAAGAACTCTGTTTTTTAGCGCCCCCAGCCGTGGCAACGCATGATGGGAACTCTGTAGCAAGGCGTCCGCTCATTGAAAACTTGCAGCACAAGCTGCTGATGTCCTTCTCCTTAAGCTCTGCTGAATTAGAATACTGACTGCAGACTACCGAGCAGCGCCACATGCTTCATGATGCGTGCACTGCTCCCCATCTGGCACGGGTGACGCAGGTATTACTCAGCACATGGCCTTTTGGTTCGTGTGTGATGCCGTGCCGAATTGGCTGAGTTTCAGCTGAGATATGGTGAAGAAAATTTACATTCTTGTTGCAAAACGCTCCATGCCGACTTCCCGGACAAGCCAAACATCAGATGCGTTACAAGCCAGCCGTCACCTTTCCTAGTTCACTGCAAGCTCCTCACATTGTAGCCTTCAGACTCACATCTGAGTCGTGTCCATGCCTTACCTACTGCCACGGGAGGACAGCGTCGCCCGGAGCCTGCGCCACCTTGTAACCGGGCCTCGGCGGCCGTGACCGCCAGGCGGGCTCTCAGGAGCGTGACGAGCCGTACTCGCCGGCGACGCGCCGCCTGCTGCGCGTGCCCACCATCCGTGCCCCCAACCGGGAGAAGACGCCCATCGAGGAGCATTACGAGAAATACGGCACGTTCGAGCTCACCTCGATCGAGCAGGAGACGTTCGAGAAGTACTTTTACGGCACCGAGCACTGGAACTACTTCACGCAGGACGAGGACTTGGGCCCCATCATCCTCAGTCTGAAGCAGGAGACCATCAACGGCCGCGACCAGTTCAGGTGAGGACGGCTCCTTGACCGCCGTGGCCAGTGCGGGCTCATGGGCAAGCACATGTGCATGTTACAGCCGTCATGGGTTTTGTCGCCATGAAACGGGACCGGGAAACGGGGCACGGGAATAGGAAACGGGACTCAATTGGTCTCGGGAACATACTGGATGTGATTGAAAGTTAACGTGGTCGTGGACAGCGTTTTTATGTGTTTTACGGTGGAGGTTTGGGTCAGAGGTGCGTTCAGGATCGTTCATTTTCCTTGTGTACATGCTATGCTGCACACCAGCTGCCGCACCACCATACGTCGCACCACCGCCAGCTGCACGCCCCTTGTGTACATGCTATGCTGCACACCAGCTGCAGCACCACCATACGTTGCACCACCGCCAGCTGCACGCCCCTTGTGTGCATGCTATGCTGCACACCAGCTGCCGCGCCACCATACGTTGCACCACCGCCAGCTGCACGCCGATATGTTCCACGGCCATCACAGGGACCGCCACTCTAACCGTTCGCTCCCGCTATCATCGTGGACGATGAAATGTCAGCCAAGCCGAAATTTTCAGCTGCCTGATTGATGTGCACTATTTTAACGGACCTTCTCCAGTTATGATACTGAGAACATCACTATGGTGCTGGTAGGTACCATATGCGCCGCATCACCTGCCAGTCAAGGCTTTACCCAAGGGTATCACTGTTGTGCTTTCGAGGGAGGGAGGGGGGGGGGGGGCGAGCCCCTTAATGCTGACTTGAACACCTTGATTCCCGTCTAAGCCCCCCACCCCACCCCAATGCATATGAGCAAAAAAGGGAAAACTGGGCCAACGAAATGCAGCAAGTGCCCAAACTGCTGTTAAACTTGATACATAAACACATCTTTATCATCATCTTCATCAGCATGCATCGTCTGCATAACTGACGCACCGACTTCAACTGGCGAGTCATTCTCCAACATCAAGACAATTTTGGAACCGATTGTTTTAACAGTTTAATTTGACATCAAGTTCGCAAACTAAATCGACCGAAATCCGACGAGAAACTGGAATGAGATGGCAGGTTAGGTTACATTTATTTCCTCAGCCCCTTACCCCCGACCAATTCTAGAAAGTGACACCTCTGACCAAACCCATCGATGACGATGACGCTAGTGCAGCCCATTTGCGACGGTCACCGCGTTTCACCTATCTGCGTCTTCACCTACCGCTGGGATGCGTCTGTGTTTGGTGAGCCAGCTGCGCTGAGGCCAGTCATCCTCGCGAAGGACCATGATACGGGCCATCAGTTACACGGTGACCTGTCTCCAGGATCATGGTACGGGCCATCAGGTACACGGTGACCTTCTCCAGGATCATGGTGCAGGCCATCAGGTACACGGTGACCTGTCTCCAGGATCATGGTACGGGCCATCAGTTACACGGTGACCTGTCTCCAGGATCACGATACGGTTCACCAGTCACTGATGTCATTCGTCGTCCTCGCGCAGGATCATGGTGCGGGCCATCAGTTACACGGTACACGGCCTGGTGC